GTGATTGTTCAGAAATCCACAGCTATTTGGCGAGACTTCAAAGATTACCGCATGAAGAATTTCCTGTCCTATCAAAGGCGGTGCTTACCCCATCCTAGTTACGGCTGACATCTCCAACGAATATGGCTAGTTTTATAACATTGCTTTACTTTTAGGTCAGGTTTTTAACAGCTAAACGAAGGGTCTTTTCCTTCGGATTCCTAGGAAACCTATTGAAGATTTAAACCAGGGAACATGATCCAGGTCGACAGTCACGGTGACCAACGGCGAATCATTCAATACTGTCCAACTACTTTTAAAACCAGAGTCTGGTGCTGTTCAAAAGGCACCTACAGTGCGAAGCATTAGGACTAAGGCAGTAATGGCTCACACCCTGCGTCCTTCGGTCAGGCCGGCTCTCTGCGGGCGATCGTGTAAGACTTTTGTGTCATTCGCCCAGGGAAGAGTCCCCCAAGAAAACACCAACGGAATGCTCACCGCGGTTTACATTACTGAGTCAGAGGCTAGGGGCAGGGTTTCTGAACAAAACTCCATATCCCCTAACTAAGTCAAGGGCTTAAAGTAGGTACCATAACCAAACCCCATTCTTCGCTCTGGGCAACAGGGAGGTATCATTTGCCATTGCAGCTCTTCGCACACAGTCCTCCTCCATGCCCATCGAATGACTCGGTCCGATCAACCCATCTGCGGATCCCTTAGACATTGTTCCGCTTAAGAAAAAAACAGGCCAAAATAGTCACTTACTACCCTCAAAAGAGCAGCCTTCACTGTCCATACCCCGTGTCAAATAGAGCAACAGGCATCTCTTGCTGAAATCTTACTTCCCTTTCCGTCTATAGATGTTGTCGCCGAAACACGCATAAAAGACCCCACTTCGGTCGTGCACCTCAAGCCACCCAGGGCGAGCTCAAGTATCCCAAATATTCAAACATTTCAAATATTCTTCGGATAACCAATGTTCCTGATGGAATGGCTTGCGGTGTCTACGGTGTGGGCATTGCACTCACTGGAATGGATCTTTGTACACAGTCGTCCATGCGCTGCGTGGTTGTCCAGTTCGATTCGGATCAACGCAGGTCGACGCGTTATTAGCATACACCCCGATCTGCAGTTCTGAAACTGGGAAGATTCCTGAAAACCTAATGATCAGAAGTCCCAAGAATACAGAGAAAGCTGGTGGATTTATACGGCCCAAAGGATGGAGGCTTCTCCTGAAAGCCCTATTTCAGCTGCTTCGATCAACTGGCCGAAACAGAACAAGTATCAGCGAATCAACAAGCAAAAAAGAAGAAACGGCAATTCACTCACAGATAGGATGAACACTTCAAAAAACAGTTCAGCTGGCCTATTTCAACACAATTGTTAGAACCCAGTGGGCCTGAATGGAACATCGACACCAGCCTATCCTCAACGACAGAAATCCAGTGTGAGGTGTCATTCCTTTAATGCGACGAGACTCCTGGCTCGGATGGCCTGCACCTCGCATTCTTCAAAAAAGGCTGTAGGGTTCTGGCGAATAGTCTAACGACCGTACCGCAGGAAATTTGGAACGAAAACAGACTACTGGAATGGTGCTCCCCAAACGACAGCCCAGCCTTCAAAAACAGCGAAAGTCACCGTGGCATTAGTCTGGTGGCCGTGGCAACAAGAGGATCTATGGTATTATCTTGTACAGGCTGTTCGATTATCGGAGGTTCGTGAGAATCAGGCTAAGCTTCGCCCTAGCCATACATTCCCTTAGAGGTAGGTTCTTGAATATTGTCACTCTTCCAAACTTCCCACGTTAGTCGCTTTTCTTAATCTGGAAGCTGCTTTTGACTCTGTCGACCGTCGAAACTTTGGCGGTGTCTGGCGATCAAGGATGTTGCTTCCAGACTCATAACCCTTATGAGGGTACTGTATTCGAACTTCTGTTGGCTGGTACGCGTATACGGTAAGCTTCCACCAACGTCCACCACTTCAGCGGTGTACAACAACGCAGCCCTCTTCTACCTTTGCTCGCCAACTTTGTTAATGATGTGCTGCTTGTAACTCTTGCCTGGTTCCGAAACCGCGGGGATCGAAGTGCTCTCCGGACGTTCGCTTACATACACTGGGTATACGGTCTGCATTGCTCTTCTTGGTACAGATCCAGTTTAAATAACCAAAACAATTTGATCGCACGGTTTGGCATGGGTCTCACACCTGCAGAGTGTAAAGTGCTGTTACAAGACTAGGTATGACCAAACCCAAGCCTCATTCTTGCAAACAAGAGAATCTGCGAGGCAGATCAATTTTTTTACCCGAGAAGTTGTAGAAGTTCCGATGGACAGGCTGAGGACGAAAATGCTTGTCGAGTTGGGAAGCCACGGTAGCTTTTGCCAATCGTCGACACTCATGACCCTGGCGTGACGTCAGTTTGTCTATCAATGGCACAGCATACATTGTGCTTAGCAAGAAAAGCTGCAAGATACAGCTATAATGGATACTGACAGCCTCCCTATTATCAGTTCCAGGCAACCCGGAGTGTTCCCGGTAAATAGGCTTTCCTCCCTTCAGTCTCTTCTCAAAATAAGGATTTGTAGACTGGACATAAGGCAGAGAAGCACGGGCATTAAGTACTACTGTTGTACAGCCAACTACGATGCTATTTGGCGTCTCCGGTCAGCCGTCGTGAAGGGACTGGACTTTCCCGAAGTGTGACGGTTCGTGTGCCTTCGCAACCCACCGGTCTATATTCAGGGGTGTCCGTGAGAGACCTGCAGTCTCTCACACCAGCTCCGTCAATGGTGAGAATTCTGGCAGTCTCTCGACACTTCAAGTTGTTCAAAGATAGCGAAGTCCTCATTCATAGCTTATCCGGTCTGTTTGCGAGCATTCGTAAGAAGGAGGTTGGTCCAGACAACCGGGGACAGTCGAAGATAGTGTCAATTTTCAACAAAATGCTCATGTGGTAACCACAGGGGGATCAGATTGACCCTGGCTGTAACGAGACTTGGCGTCACTTGTACTTCGTCGCATTACGGTGCTCATGAAACACTGACTCGAGAGCAGCAAGCAGGATTCTGGCCAGGTAAGGGTTGCGTCGATTAAATCTTCACACCTCATCAGGCACTATAAAAAGCCATACCCATAAACAACCCGCATGGAATTCCAAGGCGCATTCAACTCGATTGACCGGCTTGTACTCCATGACAAGCCTGATTATCAAGGAATATCCAGGAAGTTGGTGAACACAAGTATTCTCAGACTTCCGGACGTGTGAAAGTATACAGAGCTATCCAAAAGCTTGTCCTTTCAGGGGGGGGGGCAATCCCTCGAACGCTGAAAGGTTTTCAAGACGCCGGTATTTAAATAATCTCTGACGAAAATTTTGTCGATCTGAAATATGTGGACGAGATCGTTTTCGCCTTCGGAAAGAAGGCTCAGGTTCTTGGATGAACTGACCAAAGTCATCCCGTCCTTTGGCATGCACTTTGCAAGGCCATACTCGTGGACATGGTCAGAGAACACCACTTACAATCCCGGGGGAGGAACTCGAAGTTGTCGATCGTTTTAGGTATCTTGGAAGTCGTATTAATTCGAATGGTAGTGTGAAAGATGAAGTGCACGAATCTGCAATGCTCGGGTCGTGTTTGTTAATTTGACACACTTATGGTGTCAAAGCGGTATATCACTGAATCTCGGAAGACGTGTGTATCGGGTTACGGTACAGGCTGTTTTGTTGTATGGCCTGTTCGGATAGTGGAAATGAGACGTCTTTAGGCTTTCGAAAACTGTAGTCTCAGGGCCATAGCCTGTGTAAGTTTGTGTCAGCAAATCCGTAACGGGGCACTTAGAAAGTGAGCGTTCGGTTGTGCAACGGGGACTTCCACTGAAGTGTCCAACACTAGAAGTTGCATTGGTTAGGATATGCATTCTGTATGTCGAAGCATCAATTGGCGAAGAGATTGCTGTTTTCCGCAATCGATTCAGAGACAGAAGGATATGACAGAAGGGTATGAAAGGGACTACGAAGTGTTTGAGTGCCGTTAGTGCGAATCGCCTTCCAGGATGTGGACCACGTGATCTTCACTGCGCCTGTTTGGGGACGCTGCAAGATATGGCCGCTAATCAATATCAACTATGCTCTTGTTATCAGTTTCTATCCAGATTACATGAATTAATGTGGAGGTGTAGGCACCTCGGCATGATGGTGGCAGGCTAGCATTAGGTCCATTCCCTGTCCACTTTTGTTCTGCACAATAGGGCCTTCAAATAAATCATGGATGTAAGGCAGCGAAGCGTAAGTGTTGAGCACTGATGTTATGCTGTTGACGATGACGATGGCTGCCCGTCATTCAGAGTTCCAAGCCACATCTCATATCTGAGTGATCAGCGCTTACTAGCTAATGCTATTGAGTGCCAATGCGCTTCCTGACACCTAAAATTATTGAATATCGTGATGTCAATGGGCGATAACATGCGTTCTGGGGAGTCGAAACAACCTACATTAACGCTGCTCACGCTTATTTTTAGCTCAAAGGTAAAGTGAACTCAATTAAGTATAGCCACATTAACTTCTGTATTCTACGGTTGGCGTATCAGAGCACATGATCAAATATTTCGCAAACTAAACGTCCCTCTAAATCTCACAAAGCCTTTCCGGTTGTGAAAGACTTCCTGAATACTTCAGTGACTCAATCGGGCACTATCTACCCCGGCAGCAAACTCTGCTGACAGGTTGCATAAATGAGGGAACTATAGAAACCTTTAAAACATACTGTCCTCAGCCTGTCAATCATATAATACGAGGAAAGCAAATTTTTGCGAATCTTTTGTATTCTATGATTTCACCAAAGCAACCTTTCTATGCTTAGCTGTCTGAAGGTAGCACAAGGGATGAGATGTTGCCAGTTCGTCCAAGCCCAGACACAGGAATTCGGGATGCATGTTCGAATTACGGAACTCCGGGTCGGTAAATTCGCACTTTAACCACTGAGCCATCTCGTCCCTATTCCACGGGTAAGCACAAAACTCACCCGTCTGCGTCCGGCGGATATTCGAGTATCTCACCAACTGGATAATCACGGTCAGGAAACAGATCACATATGGGAATTGAAGGAGGGTAAGTCTGCTTCATTCCACACGGGACCTCCCCATTCGTGTCCCCTTTGTTGCCGGGCTTCTTTTTCTTCTTCTTCTGAGTCCCGCTGAGCTCAGATCCTGCAGGTAGTTCTCTCTGCATTGGCTCTTTGTGCTCGTCTTCAACGACATTTGAGCTACCATCAATACCTATAAAATGGTATGACTGAATGATATGAACAGACAAACGCATGCCATTCAGTTTTTGGGTTTTCTTCTTCCTTTTCTTCTTCGAAGTCTTGTCAGGACAAACATCTATCTTGTCCATATCCTTTTGCAGATTCAGTTTGGTCTCTATCTCAACACCCAGGAGTGCATCCTCGGCATCGGAATCCGATTTTGTGACGGCACCACTCATTTTGACAACCGCGCTCGCATTTAACAACGTCCTTCCGACCAAGTGACCTTCAGCGCACACGGCAATGTGTCACAAGGCCAGCTGCCGTTCAGTTTTTGCACATGGAACCTTTGAGGATCATCGCGTATTGCAACCACGAAGCAGTACATATGTAATTGGAATGAGATATGCTTGGTCTTGCGTGGCTGGGTTAGGCCTCATATTCAACCGAGCTTTCCCAGTTAATCAGGGCATTCTCGGTTCCCACTTTCGGTCAACACCATATGAAGATGTGACCCTCCATCTTTTACATATATGGCCTTCATATGGAGCATAAAGTTGAAATATATCGGGAAAACAGAAAGATCTTCCCAGAGGAATTTCTAGGATGCAACCATGTTGCAGTATACCAAGCAGAGGGGTCATTAATAATAATAATGATAACAAGAATACTAAAGCCTATTCCGGTGAGTAACCACCTTATTGGCGAAGTAACAAAATCCTTCCAGGAAACTAGCACGGCCATTTTTAGTGTGAGCGAGTGACCGCCTTATCTTCAATCGCTAGCTCCTCCCAATGATTCTTCTGCGTCTTATAAGTTCTCAATTATTCCGAAGATCCAATGAGATTATGGAGCAGACAGTTGCTTCAACTGAACAGAAATGGTTTATTCAAATCAACGGGAAATTACTGTTCGCGTACGCCTTCTGCTCTGCTTGTGGCGCGCTGATCGCTTGCGCGATCAAACAATCCTTGCAACCTTACGTCGAAGACCTTCTCGAAAGTTGAAATAATTGGCTAGTGTTTTCGCCAACCTATTAACTGTTTGAAATTTAAAACATGGAACAGACTGGATTAGTCCATTGGAGTATCATTTCCGCAAGTGGTGGTTCGCACTACCAATCAATTTTTGGATAAGTAACAGGCAGCTTTGTCCTAGATTGTTTTTTTCAAATAGCCTCAGAATCACTGAAGTGAGACAAATAGACCAGTAGTCGAGCGAGTCTTCTCTGTCATCCACTTTTTGGAGTTTCTCGAGGCAGGTCATCTTTCAGTTTATTTGTATCTTTACCGCTTTCTAGTTTTGATCGCATCGTTGTAAGGTGGCCGAGAATTAAAAGGGCAAATATCTTAAGCACCACATGCAGGGTCCCGTGGTTAGGCCCCTTGAACTTTGTGAAGTAGGAAACCGTATCCTTCACCTCGGTGAGAAAGCATAGATAGGTAATTTTGTGGCCACTGTATACAGGTACAAATCCGGTGACAACAACACATATCGGCGGAAGTGCGCGAATTCTTGGAATGTTGCGCCAGCACCTTAAACCTTTTGCCATTTGAGCTTGCTGGACTTCCCAATTACGTCCTCACGTGCGCTGAGAGATTCCTGCTACTCCGTGTTGCGCGTAGTGAGGCCATTAGTTCGCTTCTGAACCTCCTTGCAGGTCTCAGATTGTGTTGTTCTCGAGTTAACCCGACCCATCTTCTTCCTCACAGATAGTCGAGCCAAAAAGTGCTGACCTTGGGAGGGAGGCTGCGTTCGGCCCACGTTTGCCAATTCAGGCTTAGAGCCTCGAGTACTGCTGTTCGGAACCACGATTTGCATCCCTTTCTTTTAATTCTTTCAACGGGGCGAATCAGTTACGATGTACCGGCTAGCTAGTCTTAATTATTCACTGTGGGCCGTTCGCAGTCGCTCCGTGTAGGGCTTAGTTGATGGTGCCAGCTCCTCGAAATTTCGGGGGGATTCTGCACGCTGAACTTCAAATTCGGATTATGTATAGCGTCATTGCTACCGCCCTAGGAAGCGTTCCTTTAAAGTTTCCTTCCTCACTTGGACCTTCGGTAAAAATGTCAAGGGGTGCCGGCGTCTGGTTGATCTCGCAAGATGGAAGTTTATACCGGGTTCATCCTGAACCCATGGAAGACGCGTCCCAAACGAGCCCACTGGGGCACTATAGGCTTTGTGCCTTATTTCACGAACATGTAGTCCCCGACGTCAATCCACGGTTGTTTGTACAGCATTGAAAAAAGGGATGGCTTAGTGATTCCATCCTGCTATTCGACGGCCAGAGTACTGTAGCGGAAACGTGGAGGCAATAGCGTGCTGTTCTCCCAATTCAGGGCACCAGCCATCGCCATTGTATGTCCCAGAATAATGAAAATGCATATTGATCTTTTCACACGTTTCTGGACAGCAAACATGACACCGATACAAATGCGTCCATCCTGCTTCACGCGGGATGATAAGAACACTTGAGTAGGCGTGCCTCTACAGGTTTAACTTCAGGGTTGACATTTGATCGCAGAAATCATTTCCTGGTAGGCACACCTCAAAGGGCGAGAAAAAGTTGCTCATTGGAGATAAACCTTATTTCAGACAATGTTGATGCGATCTCAACTTCCATGAGGAAAATCGCGTTAGCAAATATGAGCGGGGGCGGAGGAAGTAAAGCACTCTAACCGAAAGCACAACTACGTTTCGTGAGCCCCAGGGCCGAATCGCAGCGATTCGTGTAGTTTGTGAGCTTTTATCCTCGTCTTGACTCCGTTCGTGGTCGACACTTTCTGCGAAAGTCGTGGATGTCTTGAGAAGTAAGGAGCCTACCGAATCCATGCCGCGCTTTACACGACAGCATCCTACACTTTAACGGAGGCTGGTGAGGTTGTTACCTTGTAATTCATCTGCTTTGTAGGCATTTTGAGCCAGAATGTGTGCTACCGACGTCATTGATGTGTCCTGCTGATCGAGCACCTTTTAGTACGGGGACTCTCCACTTATTTGGTTTCTGCCATAGCTGTCTTTGTCGCTGCCTCTGCACTAAGTTCTGGACTTTTGCTTTGGTGCCAGGAACACCGTTTTCGGGGGGGTTCTGGACACCGTGTTTGTGAATTTGGGTCAAAAGTCGGTAAACCAAGTGCCAATTATGAGGCATCGTGCAAAATCGATCTCAGATACCGTACATCAAAAATTCAAATGTTGCCTGATATTTCACCTGCTTCGGAAGTCGTCATGGTCGTCAACTAATATGAGGTTGTTTTTTGATTAAATTCGAAGAGATCAGATGCCACTGGTCATCACGAAAGGTTCGGGATTCCTCACAGCACCGTTGGCTCGATACTTTGTCTGGCATTGGCAGTCGGATGAGGCAGAGAATCTGACGTCAACTACACAGACGGACGGAGACGCAAAAGTAAGGAACCGAGTTCAGTTGACTCAGGTAACGAACAGCTCCGGACCGAGTATTGATCTCTGCGGGACGCCAGGGAGTATATAAGATGTAATCTATACAGTTCCGCGACGCTTGCACATCCTCCGTTGGTGAGGTAACCACGAAAACCTTGTGTAAAACGTCCATATATGATCGGTTTCTGAAACAATTTGAAGTTTTGGCCCAATTTTCCAAGTGGACTTATCAAATTTTATGTGAAGAACGGCATATTCATTGGCTAAACATATAATCGGTCGGTCATCCTGGCATCGGTTCAGAGCTGCCACTGTTGTACTGAGGATTTGGATTGCAGAAGTCTAGGAGATGTATGAACTAACCGAAATGTATTTGATAGAGTGTTGGCTAAAACCCATATCAGGTTTGTAGTGGACTAGGACCTTATCAGCGTGTTCAGATAAATGAAGAAGCAAAGTAACCAATTCAGAATCACAAAATCACTATAGCAATGGAATGAGTAGTCAAATGGGGTCTCACGAATGTGTAGATCCAATAGTCCACTACACCGATCCAAATGCAGTAACTGGCTGTGAGAGGAAATATTCCCTTGTCGGAATCTCCCACAGATGGTTCCGCGTGCGTGATATATTCCATCGTAGGAAAATTATTCACGGCTAAAAAATGTCACAGGGATTTATTTTGGCGTTCAACAGTTGACACAAACACAGAGATCTGGTCCCACTGGTTCAACAGTCAACAAACAGTTCAACGGAGCGTTAATGCACTCGTTCAGCAAGAAGTCACCAGGTCGCACCGGAAAACTGTGTATTCGTAACATTAAAACAAACGTCATGATACAATGTGAACGACAGTTACAAAGTGTGTTTCAAGTTCAGGAATAATGGTAAATGTGACAACAGATTACAGACAATACAGGTTTGTCAAATTTACCGATTAGACCCTTTCAGAATCCTTGGGCCTATTCGCATCAAATGGCGGTGGTTTGAGCGTTATATGGTTTTCGTGTAATTTTAACGGTATGAGTATAGAACAAGAGACTTGTGTCTGTGATGACACCCCTTGACGTCACATTATACCATTTGATACTATTGGTGAGGGATCTACGGATGTGATATCTACAGCTACCTTCAAGTTATCCGGTGTTAACGACGAGGTTTTAGATGGGTGATGAGAAATTGGGCAGATCATTTGGATATCTATGTACATTAGGAGCCCCCTTAGCGTGCAATACCAGCCAATCCGGAACGGAGATTTAGATATTGCTTTGTTTCTCGTCTATCAGCGCATAGTAAGCCTCACCCCATCTTGGCCACGAGCTCGTTGGTGCTAGCCTAAATTCAATGTCCAGGCTTGCGCCGTGCAGGTTTAAAAAGGTAGCGTATGTGACGACAGCTAGAGCTACATTGTTCCTGGACTCTAGAGACGATGACTCAGCACCTGACTGGGAAACAGTAACCGCAGTTATATTGGGAAAAAACTATCCTCGTTTTTAGAACCGTTTCATGAGTGTAGCGCCAGCTGAAAAATAAGCCTTGAATGTTGCAATGTAAGTAATATTGCACACAAGCGAGATTAACCGCCGTTTAGCGCCAGTGAGAACAAGTTTATGCACAGCTCTGAGGGCAAACAGGTTGGCTGATTGTAAAGGGCCAACAATTGTAGTTGTGTAGGCTCCATGAAGCGTATAACTGATCACGTTCAAAGGGTTCCTGAGCTCGCAGTCAGCATTCAACGACTAAATGGCCGTAAGGATTTTTTCATGCCTTTTGAAAGGAAAAAATTTGTTGCACGTTTTAATGGGGAATGGCAAAAATAGTTTTTTTTTGGGTTTTCATCGATGCGTTTTCGGGTGACGACGATTACTTGGTCAAACGCGGTTCTCGCGGAGCACCAGGGAGTCGAGTTTCAAAATGGTCAGTCCCCAACCTCTTTGTTTTATCCAGGTTGTTTGTTTTTGGTTCAATCTATGAACATCCAGTTTGGGATTATCTAGTTTTGTACCAGTGATATCTTCTGGTTCCAATTTTCTTGGATTCCCTCGATGCACGTGAAGTGTGTTGTTTGTCACAAGAAGTTCTTCACCTTGGTGGGGAACACTATTCTTAGGGTAGTCGAAATTGTTCAACGACCACCGACATGTTTTGTCCTTTCTTCTATGTTTCCGTCAACATTATACTTGGCTATAGCTAACTCTATAAGTATTTTACAAACAATACCACAAACCAGCTGGGTTTAGCAAAAGGCCCACCCAAAACCCAGCCGGATCTCTCAGTTACGGTATTTCGTGGAAGCTAATTAGCTCCAGGAAGGAGAAAACCGGCGTGGGCTGATAACCAGCCTTAAAATCCTCATGCGTGTTGCGCTCGATCAAAGCAGGGAACTTCCAATGAGTGGTGGTGTACCTTGCACTAGTTTGCTGCAATCTACCACAGTGTCCCGAATAACCTTCCAAAAACCGTCCTCTTAGAACGCATGCCTTAATACCATAGAGACAATGCACGTCACAATTAAACATAGAATATCAAACAGTCGTTTGTGTAGGCACGGGGGTGACGTTTGGGCTGCAGGATAGAACGGTCTGCCTGTAATATCTTATAAAATTGTGGATAGTAAACTATCATTGGGAAGGTGTGGTGAAGAACGGTATAACTGGGAGGAAGTTCAAGGGGAATACACATTCCAAGGTAGTGAATGAGGATTTGTAGTAATCAAGACAAAATGAGATTCAACAGCTGTCCCTTCACTTGGGGAGAAAAAAGAATCTAAGGTTGGTGCAACAACAACTGGCTATCTGTGAATGGATGATAGGAGAGTTACCCCGTCTGCACACGCTCTGCCAAGGTGTCTGTGTGGGGGGTCAGACAGATTTTTTGACCTTCTGTTGTGGGTTCACGTTTTCTATCCCGGCGGAAATCCAAATGATAGGGAAGAAAATTCGTTTGGGGGAAGGGATTGTGTTCTGATGGCAGAACACCAAAATACCGGTCTATGTTGAAATTTCGAACCAAATGGCGTGTCTTTCCTAACATGACTAAGTAGATATGGTTTGCTACTATCTGACCTGAGCTCTCTTCAGCAAAAAAGAGGTCCACGGAGCGGTATTTCTGGCCGATTTTGCCATAGCAGATTTGGCCAGTGCTACCCTTCCATGCACTTTTGCGATTTCTTCAATCGTTCTGTGGTTTTCGAGACAGGCGAGGCGATACATTCGTCTCTAGGCAAAGTCATTCGGTGGGTGATAGCCACAGTACTATCAGCTAGTTCTCGCAGTGTTTCGTTATCCGGGAAAGATTTCAGGGTCAGGATAGTGGATGGTAACTTTCGTCCGGTTTGTGGAGGTTGGCCGGTGTGGCAGGGAAGCAGACGGATCCAGAATGAAAGGGATCGATCAGCTCTTCAGTATCCGACACGCTTG